ACTTGAACATCTCTTTCAAGAAGAGATAAATTGGCTTTCTTAAAAAAGTCTTTGCAACAGCAACAAAATATTTTGTCGGTGGTAATGTCTTAAAATACAAGAGGTAACAAAGGCATCCAATAAAATTTGTTACAGTATATTTGATAAACATATGAAATTGTTAATGATAATTAGAAATAAGAATACATTTGAAGCAAAAATGCACAAGCAAGTCTGAACTAATTTTAAGCAAATAATACTGATTTTAGTTTAGAATTCAGTAAAAACTCTTTGCTACTAGCCTGCGCTTAATAAATTATTATCTGAAATGAAATAAATGAGATTTTATCAAAAAAAAAATCAAAGAATTAAAGTACATGGCAGTTTTATTTTAAGACAGCAGACTGCAAGAAAGGGGCTTGGGATCATTAATGAAAGGATATCGAAATTCCCCCATAACTGGGTAAAACATGACGCATTAAGCCTATTTATTGTGAGTTGAATTGGATAGAATTTAACCCAGTTTTAAAATAAAATCCAAAGTTATGATTTTTAATGTTTTGATCAATTTTTTCCTAAATTTAAATGTCTTTGATCTTGTAGCGTCCCCTCACCCTCCCGATTAATCCTCAAGTTGCGGCCCGTGGGAAATATTTGCCATATGTAAGTGGCCTGGTGGAAAAGAATGTTGAGTATCCCTGGTTTAGATGATTCCTTGAGATCGAGAGGGCCGCTGTAGCTTAGTGGTCAAGGTAACGGACTCATGGTCGGCGTGTCATGCGTTCGAGCCTAGTACCACTGAAAACCCACCATGTAAGGGGGTGATGCATGTTAAATTTGTCGAAGCTCAAACGTCATTCCTTTGGTGTGGTGTGGAAGCTCAGGTGTCGTTTTCGTCACTTGATCATGGTTCAAAATAATGAGGTCAATGGCCAAAAGCCCTCGACTATAGCTGAATAGTGCGACGCTAATATTCACTCACTTACTCGAGATCGAGAGTCTATGGCAGTCGTGCAGCTGGCCAGTCTGAAGCGCAGGTGGCTCAATTGTTACAAGTGGCACCAAAAGTGGTCACCCGGATGTGGAATCAATTCCCAAACAAGGGGTACTGTCACCAGTAAGGTCGGCCAAGGTCACTACAGAGTAACACCTACCGGACGACATAAGCGGACAGTGACTCCTCTGCTTGTTTTTGATCTTGCTGTTGTTTCTGGAAGAAGAATTTCCATCCAAACAGTGTACAGACGTCTAATAGAGACTGGCTCTCTTATGCCCAGCGTTCAGTCTCCTTTTGACTACATCTAACAAAAATGGCCGGTTAGTGTGGAGCCGAAAACATCAGTCGTGGACACCACAAGAATGGGGTGTGTTCTTTCCACTGATGAGTTGAGTCTTCATCTAGAGAGAAAGCAGAGCTCACTCCTTAGCAACAGAAATCGGCAGATTTGGTTACAATGGAATCCTTGACTGAGGTGGCATAATGTTGAGCAGTCGTACACTACTGCACATTTTCGATGCTGGTACTGTCAACACCCAGCACTATAGAGATAGGGCCCTTGAAGCTTATGCGAGGTTGTTCCGGGGAGCTATGGACAAGGACTACATTTTTATGGACGATAATGGGTGGTCACACAGAACTCACGTTGTTGATGAATTTCTTGAAGAAGAGGATATTCGCCACATGGAGTGGCCCTCGAGTTCTCTTGATATTAATCCTACTGAACATATTTGGGAAGATCTAGGAAGAGCCATTTCTCAGCGAAGTCTCCCTACCCAGGAACTCCCAGGAGTTAAAAGTCAGTCATTTGAAAAAAAATTGTTTTTTTGCCGCCAACATTTATTGACACTTTCATAAACAATATAGCAGTTCGTTGTGAAGCTTGTATAGCAGTAAATGGTGGTCGTACTCCATATTAGACAGAATTTTCCTGAGGTAAGTGCTTTATCTATCGTTCACGATTTCACACTTTTTGATATACCCTGTATCTTAATTCACAATTAAAATCTCTTCCATATTGTTATGTTGTTATATTCTTTCTCACATTGTAATATACTTATGTGCAATATTTCGTGGCAACACAATGAATATATATATAGTTGATCATTTGCACAGATTTTATAAAACACAGAGTTTCTAATTGGTTTTAACAGAATGTTTTTGGTTAATGTCTAAGAAGAAAGTTACTGAATCACCGAACAGCAAATTGTTTATGAACTCTCTTATAGGATCGTTGTTCGACTTCACTTTTATTGGTTCAGCATTGTTCAAGCTTCTTTTGGCTCGAAATCAATTTCTACACATCCACCATTTCCAATCATTCGTGTATATTCGGATAGCAGTTGATGAAGTCATATTTTTTTTTCTTCTTCTGGAAATTGGGATACTAAAGTTGAAAGATATTTGAATTATATAGAATGATAAATACTAATTAGGAAGGCAAAGAATAAAAAAAAGCGATGGATGCTCAAGAAAACGGAAATATGCAAACGATCGTCGGGGGGGGGGGGAAGGAACCGAAATAAGTGGCTAATTTAAGAATGAGTCTATGAATTATTGAGTTTAATTTGATATTTTGTTTAAAATTGACCAGTTTCACTTTCGCATTTTTCAAGATGAGTTTTTATTTTTAAAGTCCATTAACATATCTTTATTTATCGAAAAGCGCATGTTCTTGTTATTTAATTGACAAATATTTGTGTTCCTACACATATTAGCACATTTAAGTTTATTTTTACTGGTGTATCTATTGATGAAATGCTGGTTTTAAGTTTTCGAATGAAGCGGAAGTGCGAAAACATACTGACATTGACTGGAGATTAGAAAAGGTGGTATCTCTTCTCCCATTAAAACGATCCATCAAGTAAGCAGTCGTCCTCGGTGTAATGGTACATTTCCGTTGCTAGTCGTCCTTCAAGGCTAGCCTTGCGCGTGCCACAGAAGCGGCGACCGGAACGCTGCTTTGTTCAGAGGTCCCTTCCTTTGATCTTTTATGTGTTTTAGGTTCCTTCAAGAAACTGAGCAGGACATTCTTTATTTAATGAAACGGCAAATATTACGGGCGTGATAACGGACTTTATGTAATGAAAATGTAAAGAACACGAAACACAATTGACATTACTAAAATATCCGTGAGCGATAAGTTCTTTGAAAGCATCAGTTTTTAAAAAAAAAAAAAAAAAAAAAAAACAAGTAAATTATTCTAAAAAGAATATTAGAATCCGTTGAACTGGTTTGATTTGCCTTCAAAACGATCTGCATTAATTGAAAGAATAAGTCATTAGTAAAAATATCCATTCCAAATTCATAATCGAAATACTACCAAGCTTTTCGAGATTTTGAATTCTTGAGTAAATTAATATTCGAAATATTTTGAAAGGTTTATTTTACTTAATTTGACAATCAGTTCAAAAATGTAGGGGGGGGGGAGTCTCGAAACAATTGCACAAGGATGAATTATTCGAGAATATTTTGAAAGGTTTATTTTACTTTATTTTGGCAATCAGTTCAAAAATGTAGGGGGAAAAGTCTCAAAACAATTAAAATGTGATTTTCAATAATAACAATGTTCCTAAGTAGGGTTCTAAATATTTCATAACAATGTCAGATGAATTCTAGCTCAGTAATCATTAGACAACTTCTCGTTATATAAATATTGTTCTGAATGTATATAGGGCATCTCTTTATATAGATTAAAATGATTTCACTTATTCGAGGATTGAATATGTGTATGTAATGTTTGTATTTTACTTGAGAGTTCGATTCGAGAGAGTTCATCTGATGTGAGGGAAGTGGGTAGTAAACCTCTTGGACAAAATAAAACTACTTTTGTGTTGATACAATTGAAATCCTCTTTCTGCTTGGCTTACCTATCGCATTCGATCGATAAAAATATGACCTTGTTCTCACCGGAAGAAAATGTTTCACAGTGAGGTGCATTATTCATAAATGCATTTTTATGTCCTAGGAATTTTATTTTTTTATTGTATTATCAAAATTTGTACCTTACACGCACTTGTGTAGATAGATATATTTTACTTTTGACAGTAAATTTTATTTTGTGTTTGTATTTTAGGACAAAAAATTAATTTTGTTTATCATTAATTTCGGCTTTTTTATTTAATCTTATACACGGAAAAATTTTAAGAAATAAACTTAACTGTAAATTCAGAAAAATAGAGACTTTTAACTACTTTTTTTAATGAAATTTATCGATGCACAAAATATCTTTCAAGCCGTTAAATAATATATATATATATAGTATCTTTTAATTCACTTAAGTGATTCCGAACTATTTTTAAATATTTATTTTGATGTAATACATTCAATCTAACTACTAATTATTTTAATAATTAATGTACATTTTAATTATCTGGACCGCTCTGACCGAGGCTTGAAGTATTACATTTTCTTTACTACAATTGATAATTCTATTTAGGTGGAAAGAACTCCCAGTTTTGAATCGTATGTCTTGAGTTATTAATCGATAATTTAATTAAGCAGTTTTCATGCATTATTTTAGTTTTAGTACTATTACATATAATGCTAAAATGTATAATTATATGTATCATAATTAATATATATTATGTAACTGAGATGTATGAGACTAATATGATGTGTTCTTTGTTATAAAATGTGCCTATAGACTACATTAAAATTTTTTGAGTTGTTAAGTGAAGAGAAAAAAGTTTTTGTAGGAAAAAACAGAGGCATTTTTCAATTCTTACAATTCACCTCTCCCTATATATATATATATATATATATGTGTGTGTGTGTGTGTGTGTGTGTGTATTTTATATATATATATAACTTGTTCACACACAAATTTTCAATCGTTAGTAAATTGCTTTCTATTCATCCATTCAATTTGAAATACATTTTTAAAAACTTGTAGTGGATGACACTTGATGTTAATATAGTTTTTTCAAATACTAATTCCTTAATTAAATTAAAAAATGAATGAATAGTAACAAAGAAAAATAATAGTTCAACAGCATATATAGAATAGAAGACCGTTCGTTGTGTCCCTGTAGCGCAATGGATAGCGCGTTGGACTTTTAATCCAAAGGTCGTGGGTTCGAAGAATCCCACCTGGAATGATCTAGTTTATGAGGATGTGATTTCTTTTTTACTATCTTATTAGAATTAAATTTAATTAATGAATATAAATAGTAACAAACAAAAAAATTTCTCGAAGACCCTATATAGAAAGGAAAAAGGAAAATCTCTTTCTATTTTGTCATTTAATATTGTGATTTTGTCATATGTATATGCATATTTTTATTAATTGTAACTTTTTAATAAATAGTAACTAAAATAAAATGTTTCTTTGTTAACCTAAGTAGGTAAAAAAATTTTTTTTTAATATTATTTGCTTAAAATTAAAGTATTTGTGAAATTGTACCAAAGCAAGATAATGAATCCTTTGATATCGAGTGTGAAAAGGATTTTCTTTTCTTTTTCTTATATCGTAAACTGTTTTGAAATTGAAAATATAATTTGAGTTTTTTCCTTGTTACTTTCACTTTTTAATGGTGGCCGCGGTGGCAGAGTGGTCTAGGCATCGGATCATGGCTAGCGTGTCATGGGTTCGATCCTAGTACCACTAAAGATCCGCCGTGTAGGGGTGCGATGAGTGTTAAATCTGTCGAGAGCTCAAACGTCCTCCCGTTGGTGTGGTGTGGTAGTTAGGAGAGGGGGGTGCCAGCTCAGGTGTCGTCCGCGTCACTTGACCGTGGTTCAAAATTACGCGGACCGTCGCCAAAAGCCCTCGTGTTGCCAATCAGTGCGACGTTAATATTCTCTCACTCTCATTCACTTTTTAATTTTGTAGCATAGAATGCCGAAAAAACCCCTCGTATTCAAATTTTTTTGAAAAAGCCCACCTTTGGATATCTTAATGCGTGTGAAAGAAGTAACGATTCATTTGAATTGACGTCGCTCTTTGTAGCAACACGAGGGTTATTGACGATTGACTTCATAATAATAAGAAGATAGACAGTGCATTTTATATATCATATTTCTTTTTGTATTGAGTAGAAGAACTAAATATTTCTTCTTTAGTTCTTTTAAATATTTTAGAATTTTCTAAAATTGCCTCGGAAAAAAAATCCTTTATTTTGTGTTCTAAATAGTTTTTCTTCTTATGACTCACTGAAACGAAACAAATATTAGAATGTATTCAGTTCTCCCATCCCCCACCTCGCCCCATTTTTTTATTACCGGGTTGAACAATCTGAATTTATTGAGTAGACTGGTTTCTTTGTACTCTATTCATGGAATAATTTCAAACAGTCATAATAATTTAGAGCAAAGTAGCGTGAATTAGTATTTATCAAAAAATAAAATCAAAACCTGAATAGTCCTTTGAAATAAAATGGTGCAATTTAAAATAATGGAGGGAAAATCATTCCATTTTCCACCTGAGAATCTTGAAAGCGTCTTAAGAGTATAAATCAGCGGTTTTAGGCTACCCAAATTCAACCAAAGGAAATGGTTTGGTAGAACATAGACTGCGCATGTTAAACATCATTCAACGCATAGTTGACCTCTTAGAGAAACTTAAATTCCCAATTCAAGTGGCTTCGTTATTTGAAATTGAACAAAAACCAGCAGTAGTAAACGTAAATAGAAAAGAGTCTTTAGTATTTCCTTATTTTATTTGTCATATCAATAATGGTTGAGCACAAACCAAAGACTGTTGTCTGACCTCGCAAGTTCACACTAAATTGCATAGTGAGAATGTGTCATTTGACTCGGTCACAGATAAACAGACGTTCATTTGAGAGATAAATTAATATCAATTGATTTTTGGTTGTCAATACACTTGAAAGTAATAGTATCGACAATAACGAGGAGAATTCATTATTCGGAGTCTTAAGATCAGGGGCGTATCAATGATACGGGATCCCCAAATGTAACATGTCCCAACACATGTAAGCAAAAAATCGTAAAATGTGTTCACGAACATAACTCCCATTTACGTTAGAAAAAAACGCCTGCCATTGGCTTCAAACAGTTAAAAATTTCTCATTAACTCTATATTTGTTCCGACGATTAGAAATATTTAAAAGCAGGTAGAGTATTACAAAAAACAATGAGAAGACAAGGGATGGCATATAGACTCGGAAAAAAATCTAAATTCCTATTCCAAGTGGTTCATCAGACAGACCGTTTTAGGTAAAATACAAAACCTATGGAATAGAGAAAATCCATTTCAAATGTTATTTACTTGTCAATGGCATTCCTTCCTTCGTCTGTTGATTCACTGACTAGATAAAAACGTCGTTGTATGCTTGCCCAGAGGTAGTCTAATGAAAGATAATGCTTATCTCTGTTCTTTTCATTTGTATAATATCCAACAGACATTGTGCGTTTAGGAGGGTCAGCACAAGGATTTGAAAGGTACTTCCTCTTTTGAGGAAATATAAGAGCATAACCACCAGATGTCACCCTACCAGTCGCTAGTTACTTGTCTTATATAATTAACCGATGCTATACTTGTGTAGAAAGAAGGGAATTATGTTTCACTTTCTTTTAAGCCATGTATAAGGGGCATTCAAATGAAACCTGGACACTTGTAGAGAGTAACGGTAAAGATTTTATTAACTCAAAAATGTAGTTATACACATAACACATACTCAAAAATAGTCGCCAAAACTGCTGGCACATTTATCCCATTGCGACATTAGCCGGCCGATTCCATCTTTGAAGAAAGTAGGCTATTATCGGATCCAGGCTTAGACCCAGTAACACACTTCTACATCCGCTGTGAATCGATGTTCGCGAATAGCTTGTTTTAGAAGTAAAAAAAAAGGAAAATAACACAGTGAAAGGTCTGGACTGTACGGTGGATGTTCCAGCGTTTCCAACCGAAACTGATGCAATATCGTCTTCACCGCATTGGCCATGTGTGGGTGGGTGTTATGTAGGACAATAACGCCACTGGGCAACATGCCTGAGCATTTCGACTTGATGGCTCGTCTAAGGATCTGTACAGTGGTTTGATAACACTGGGCATTGATGGCGGTTGCCCGTTCCAGGAATTCGACAAGCAGTGGGCCCTTGTAGTAAGAAAGGACATCATGACCTTACCAGAACTGGTGTGCACAGTCTTTTTTTATTTCTTTGGAGGTGGTTTCCACTGCTTGCTCTGAGGCTTGCCTTCTGGTGGAAAATGGTGACATCATATTTCGCCAATTTGCGATGGAAATCTGTATTCCTCCTCATGATAACGTTGCAGATGACTCAAAGACAGTGGAATTCGATTATTGCACTGTTCGGCGGTCAGTTGGTGGGGAATCCACTGCGTACAAATTTTTCGAAAGTTGAAATATTGATGCACTATGGTGTGAGTGTAGCCCACGCTAATATCCAGTAACCGATGGATCTAGTTAACGGTGATTATGCGGTTTTCCAAGTCTAAAGCATTCACTCTCGCTATCATTTCTGGTGTGATGACATGATGAGCCTGTCCAAGTCGAGCATCGTCTTCCAGTAACTCGAGCCCTTCAAGGAATCTTTTGCGCCATCCCGCAACACTTGAACGACACAGACTGTACTCACCGTAAACAGCCTTCATCTGTCAATGCATTTCACGGCCTCCAACTCCCTCTACCGCTAAAAATCGAATCACTCCTCGTTTTTCCTTCCTACTCGCCTGCATATTCAGTAGTGGACGATAACTTGTGTGACCACCTTTTCTTCGGCATGAAACCACACTGTCGCTATGAAATGCCAAACATACCTCAAGCGTCAGTATCTCTAATGAGGGATAGTCCCACCATACACACATTTACGTAGTGCCACTTAACGTGTAATGCAAAGTTAGACGCACTGACCAGGTTTCATTCGAATGAACCTAATAATAATATGAAATTAGGATCGTGTTTTAAGAATTGTCTATACTTATTAAGAATATTAAATTTATATGCATGTTTCAGTAAATAATTAAAATCAATAGCCTTTTCAAATATCCTGTGCAAAGTAATGGAATGAATAGTCCATAACAGAATCACAACAGAACTTGTAAGAGATAAGAAATAAATTTTTATCAGACTGCCTATAGGAAACAACAGAACATCAACTTTTCTACCTCTGCCAATCCATCATCGTCGGACTACAAACAAAACCACACAAAAAGACCACAGCTGTCTTCCTGGATATGACATCGGCCTTTGACACGGTGTGGAGCGAGAAGCTCATACAAACCTTTCACGAAAGGAGTATTGAAGACAATGCCTTAATTTGGATACCAGACTTCCTCAAGAACAGAAAAATAAAGGTATGTTTCAATGATGTCTACTCATAAGAAAGAAAAATTTGGGACGGTGTACTACAGGGCGCTCTGTTCTCAGTCCTCTGTTGTTTCTTATCTATTTCAACAACATCCACCCATTGCTTCACAAAGGTACAAATGTTGCCTGTTACGCTGACGATATCGCATATGGCACTCTAATATAAATCTGATGCAGTCCGAAAGAACTCTCAAATACTCACTTAAAGAAATCTCCAAGTGGTCAAACACCATAAAATTAAAAATAAACTCACAAAAAACGTCATACAGCATTGGGGTAAAAGCGTGGGGTGCTTTGTCATACATTTTTACATTAACTCAGCATTTTGGAATAGAAATAAGAAATTATAACAATTGATATAGAGCACCCCACGCTTTTACCCCAATGACATTAATTTACTCTTCAATAATTTTATTCTTATATAAAGAATTATTTTTTTACTTTTTAGTTGGATTCAGTATAAAAGCGTGTTTTTTAGTTTTTTTAAAACTATAATTTATTTAGATAAAAATTATCTTAGAACTTCTATGGGACAATTTCGGTTATCAGATTTAGCAATACTGTCAACAGAAAAAGAGGAACTTGGGAAAATTGAAATCCTTTTTTGCTATGGATATTATAATTGTATTTGCAAAAAAAGAAAATTGAGAGAGTACTTATGAAACAACACGGCTATTTAACAAAGTTTTTTAGTATGCATACTTATTTTGGGATGCCTTCAAATAATTTTTATTAATGCGATCATTTATATTTACATTGCTGGCCCCATAAAATGTAACACCCTGAAGGAAGCATGCAAATCA